GGTCACAGTGCGGGCTGGGCTGGGGGGCTGCGGTGGTGGAATAGCACAGTGAGGCTCCGGCAATGGCTATTATGGTCTGTCTGTCCCAGAGGTCATGACTGAAGGACAAGTAACAAACAACAACAAGGACAACAACAACAAGGACAACAAAAACGCTGGGCACTCCTAAAAATGCACAGCTACAGTAGGATACATTTCGCTTAACCCCTTCAATGTCGGTGGCTGGAGTGTCACCTGTTGCCGGCAACAGGAGCCATACGGAGAAATTCCAGCCGCCAGCATTAAAGGGGCCGAATTATTGATATGAAATTTAGACACACACCTCAAGTCTTCAAGCATCAACCCCAAAATCTCAGGAAGAATTTTTTTTTTTAATTTATTTTATTTATTTTTAACATGTCTTATATCTGTAGTTTTATTTACCAGTAGTATTTTCTTGCTCTAGAACATGACAGTAGCAAGATGACGGTAAGGCTCGCGTTTCTCTCCTGCTTGCTTTCAGCTGGAAGACGGAATAACTTTGCTCTTTACGTAACACACGCTGTCACCGATGTGATTGCAACAAGATTAATCTAGAACTCGCAGTGCCTTTCTTATGCACTTGGAGGGGCCTTACACGGCCCCGTTCTCGCACGCTTCTCCCCCCAACACACACGCACGCACACGCACCCACACGCACGCACTCGCACCCCACCGCGAGTGAGATGTTCCCCTGTACAGGTGTGATGATACCTCGCTGGCCTCCAATCGACTCTCCGGTCAGAGGAAGGGTTTCATTTAAAGTACAGTAGAAGAGCTGCAACATAAGAAGAGGAGCTGGTGAGAGCGTTAAGTCAAAAACATTTCGAGAGGGGATCCAAGCTGCGTTATACATCTGCGTGGGCAAATATTGCCCATTGGTTTCTGCTGACTGCAGAGACAAGCGAACTGACGGATTTATAAAATAATAATAAAATAATAATAATAATAATATACTGAAGCAAATCAAACATATATAACAGCGGGTGCATAATTTCCATAGGTTACGTTGCTATGTAACTCTTCTCTGTATACACGCTCAGTCCACGATGGCCAGAAAAACCCCCTAGGATTTAGAAGACCATTTCTAATGCTGAAAAGTGGAAACAAGCGTGAGGTTGACATTTGTTGTGTTTCCTGCTTTTGGCTTGAACCACTTTGAACACCTTCAACTGCCACGTTGTTCAGGCCTGGAACAGGCTTAATGCTCCACCATGTGGCAAATGCAAGAACATCTACTGAGAAAAAACAATACATCAACATCTCATCTGCATTTCCTCTGACTTTTTCATATGAAATTCACATAATTTTTCTTCCAGTTATTGGCTGTGGTATCCAAGGGCCTCCCACCCCACTGCCCCCATTTCCAGCTCAGAGAACAAACACAGCGACTATCACAGATATACAAGAACAAGCTCACGCACACCAATACAAAAGGTAACATTAATGCTTAAATGAAAAAGGTCCTCTCCAAATAATTCATTAAAATATTAAAAAAAAATCATTTTTGAAAAAAATCTATGATACCAAAAGATCTAATAAAGTAGTAAGGCACTCAAATCAGTATATACTGTAGTCTCTTGCATTATTATACCGAAAGGCATATGGCACCGCGTCCAGTCTGCCATACTCTCCCCACAGCTGTAGCTCGCTCTTCCAAAAACAAAGACTCCAGAAACCTTGCTCTGCTGGCTTCAGTTTGCGTGCTGGGACGGGTCCAACCTCCTAGCAAGTCATTCAACCCCCAAGAGCTGAGGCGCACTGTCTGCAGAGGCAAGGATGTGATTCATGGGAGACTTTTTGTTGTGCATCTCCAGCAAGTCTTGAATGAAACCCGAGGGCCTCTCGTGCTCGGAGCTACCCCGAGGTTCCTGGTCTTTCGCTGCCTGTTTCTGTGCACTCTTGGTGGGCTCTGCAAGGCAGGTGCCGGCTCCTCGCCCGCTCGGCCTCTCCTCTCTGCAGGGGGAGTCCTTGGCCGTGCCAGCCAGGGACTCTTTTCGGCTTCCCATGAGTGATGCATGGCTACCGACGCCCCCTGCGGAGTCGCACTCATTTTCTGAGATGGGGTTGGTGCCACTGTGGCTAGACTCATTTTCGCTGTCTTCTCCGCACCTCGACTGGGTCTCTTCCCTGTCGCTCTCTTTCCCATGGTTTCGGGCATTTTTGACTTTCTGGTGTATGCGCTGGTGACGAACCAGGCTGTGTTTCAGAGTGAAGGTCCGTTCACAGGTTTGACACTTGTACGGTCTCTCACCTAGAAGAGAATTACAATACAAAGTCAGCCGTAAGGTCACAAACGCACCTCCCTCTTGTTTCAAGCAGTGTACGATGCTCTGCATTTTGGAAATTCAGTACCTACACCAAACATGGATGTCGCATTTATGCCGATTTTTTGCTTCTGTACTAGCAAACTAGCGGATGGCATGCAAGCAGGAATACAGATAAATCCCTTGGGGCACAAATGAAAAACCAAAACTAAGTGTCTTGAGATTTCTACAAGCTTGGTATGGCCCTGCACTAAGAAGGGAGGAAGACCATAAGCCCCAGGTGCTCGCTAGCATCCCATCTAATTTAGTCAGCAACTTTTCTGGAAGAAGCTTGCAGTCGACCTCTGGAGCTCAAAAGCCTTTGTGAAATCAGCCCACCACAGGGGCACCCTGCTGCAGGTCAGCCCCTGATACACGCGAAGAGAGAGGACTTGAGATGGAAGGATGAGGATACTGCCCAGGTAACTGTGGTCAACAGCACTTAAAAACTGAACCAAACAGCGTATGAGAAAACATCTCCCTCTCTCTTAGATGCTGACAGATGGGCAAGCATGAAATGCGCAAGTTAATCACCAAAGTTGAAGAGAAGCTGTCAGGGATTACCCTTGCTACAACAGCCCCTCCTCTTTCTGTGAAGCAGAAGCCAGTATCATCACGTTTCAAAATGGACACAGAGCAGCTAAAGGACCTAGACTTGTCAGGCATTCATGGGACACAGGAGGTGTCTGTTAGAGGTGATCAAAATTTACTGACCGAGTGAAAAATGCCTGCCTCGGGATGTTATTTACAGAGCTGCTAGTGTTCCTCAGCCCACTGGTGCTTTAGGACAGGAGTGACATGTGAAAGCCCCTGAAAAACCTCTTCACGCCCATTCCACAAATGCTACTCAGAGGACAAAATTCTTCCTCTTATTTTGCAATCTTAAGCCGCAGAGCAGCTGCAGGCATCCCCTGCTTTAATCAACAGGTAGTCTGCTCTGATCTCAGAGCTGCTTTTTGCACCTGAAATGCTTGAATGCTTTCCTAAGCATGAGCTCATCAGAAAACAAAGCAACCACAGCCCCACAGACAAAATTCACCCAAAGTCCCAACCAAGCACAGTGCCCCAAG